CCACTTATCTGAGTTACCTAGAGTAGTGAAATTCATAGAGACAGAAAGTTGAATGTTGGTTTCCTGGTGTTGGTAGAAGGCAAAAATGAGAAATTATTGCTTAATGGATATATAGTTTCAGTTTTTCAAAATGAAGGATTTGTAGAGATGAATAGTGGTGACTAATATTTCTTAATTATAAAACATGTAGGTGTAATTATTACTTCTCAATCTGTAAACTCATCCTGCTGAAAAACATAGGGCCATCTTGCCAGCTGTTTCACTTATACACCCAACACCAGCGTGAGGAGACATGGCTGGTGAGTCTTTCCCACTCTAAGGGGAGAAGTCTTTGGGAAGAATTAGTTTGGGAAAGGATTGCCTATCTCATTAGGCTTGCTGAAGATATATGTGAGCAGCTTTGAGTTAGAGGGGGAAAGGGGAAGAGAGAAGGTGGGAGAGAAGAAGCTCAGCCAGCCTTTTGCTGCATTTTTTGAAGGAAAAATAAGGCGAGGAATACCCTGGGACTCTATTGGTTTCTGCTATAATTTTGCTAGTCTTATCTGAATTTGAAGAGGTATGAGTTAGCTGAGGGTAAGAATAGGCACAGGATGGGTATTGGCAGCTATTGCAACCAAAGAGAACAGCCTGTCAACCCCCTTCAGAATTCAAGAAATTGGGGTGTGTTACAGCAGAATGAATTCTGATATTCAGGACGTTAACAGAAAAATCATGAAATTAAGTGTCCTAGGTCACTCAGTGATCACATGTAAGTAATGCTAGAATCAGAAAGAATTATGTCAAGTAGATACCTCAAGATCCAAAGGTATATCATTTCTTGAGACTAATGTACCTGTGAAGAAGAAAGTTTGTCTGGGAAAAACTAAAATGATTGCTTCTCAGCTAGTGAATTGCTGTGTTCATTATTTGAGGAATCTTTGTGTTTCCAATAGACAAAACCCTGAGGAAGAAGAGGAATTTGTTTATCCATTCAGTGGGAGAGGGTACAATAAATGCCCTGCTGGATGACCTATTAGAGGATGGAGTAATTAGCCAGGAGGAGATGTACAAAGTGAGATATGAAAATTGCACAGTCATGGATAAGGCTCGAGTCTTGATTGACCTTGTTATTGGGAAAGGACACCGAGCTTGCCTAAATTTTATCAGGTATATCTGTGAAGAAGACCCTGAACTTGCATGGAAATTGTATTTGCCTTCAGGTAAGCTTGAATTGTTCAATCTAATGTCAAAGTAGCCCATGTATCATGAGCTCAATTACTATTATCTTCATTTATCTTGCCAATTTTGAAGAGGCTTCCTATCATTTTGGCCTCAGACCCCATTCCTATATGTGTGGTCCTAGTGCATGCCTCTTATCTCTGCTACTCTTTGTCCCTTCTTACTTTTCTCTCAGTACCCTCTGCTGACCAAAAGTCATCTCCAGTTCTGTGTCAGTAGTAGCTCATTATTGTGGTTTATCTGAACAGTCTAGATGTCTGCATTCTGAATCCTCTGATATCCCTAGGGAGCAGTGTGCAACATCACTCTTCCTGGAGCCTGAGAAACCCATGTATTTTTTGGAAGAGAAGACATAAGTTCCTTTCTTGCCCACTACTCTGCTCTTACCCTGTCTCCCTATGAAGTGCTTTTCCAAATATATAGTGATGGTGGAATTTTCGGAGTACAAATTGAATCAATGTACATTGTTCATGTACAATGAATTGTACATGAAATTAAATGTGCATTAAATGATTACATTTGCATTAAATTATACATGGATTCTATGTGCTAGTCAACTGCTTTGCTTTTTCATTTATGTAATATGCTCAATCAATAGTTGCATGGTGCCAGTCTGCAGGCCATTCTCTGCTGCTTATGCCACTTTATTTCCAGTAATCCTAAGAGCCAGATTCAAATTATGATATGGAAGCTGACCCATTCCTCTAACCATTTGCTCTTTCCACAGAGTGAAGACAAGCTCTCTGGTGGAGTACCAACACATCCCAAAGCTGCTTCAGAAACAGAGAAAAAAAAAAGCAAACAATAAATCGATTCTTTCAAATCTGATTAATGTCATCAAGTGTCTCTCACTTTGTCACATTGCTTGTTTTTTGTCCTTCCCTACCTCATCCCAACCAGGGCTAATCAAATAACACTGAACGCCATGATTATTGTAACGTAATTGAAAAAGTCCCTCCCCTTTTCCTTTGCTTCTTGTGTAGTTCCCTTGCAATCCTGTAGACACACATATTGGCCACATTTTTTGCCTTTATGCACCTGGAGTTTGCTATGATGGCAACAAAATAAAGTCCTCCTACAGAGTTCTCAACACCGTTGCTTCACTGTAATGCTGTCATGTAGCTTTTGGAGGAAGGTCTATGACAATTACTGATATAACAAATCTTCCATGCTGAGAAAGCAATAGAGAAAACCAACGGACAGATGGACAGATACTCCATTGCCAGAAATCAAGCTTTCCCCTCAAAAAAAGTTCATGAAGTAAACATAGCCTTTCAAGGCCAAATGCTCAAGGTGCAACAAGTTATGGATTGCTGCCTAAGGAATGAAAATTTGTGGGG